AAAAATTAGCAGCTTTATTCTCTAAACGTCTTCTGAAAGATTTTCTAGTTTCTTCAATTCACCTTGCAGTCTGGTGAGACAAACCGATTTTAGAAATATTCTCCTCTTTTTCAGGGCAAATTATATTTGCCATGCCTTCCATACATTGCTTAATAAAGTCAACATCAATAAATGGTTTTTATATTTTTGCTATTAAATATGCCACCATGAGGCTTGGTGCCTGTAGCACAGTGGTTGTAGCACAGTGGTTACAGCACCAGCCATATGCACTGAGGGCGGCAGGTTCAAACCCGGCCTGGGCCAGCGAAACAATGACAACTGCAACAAAAAATAGCCAGGTGTTGTGGTGGGTGCCTATATTCTCAGCTACATGGAAGGCTTAGGCAAGAAAATTGCTTAAACCCAAGAGCTTGAGGTTGCTGTGAGCTGTGACACCATGGCACTCTACCAAGGGTGACATAATGAGACTCCCATCTCCAATAAATAAATATGCTACCACAAAAGTAACTTATATGATGGAATTCGTCTGCGTTATAACTTTGAAAACAAAATTTTGCTGAAAACTTGCAGGCCACAGTACAGTCAGCCTTTTTATTTTTCAGTTCTATTTTGTCCTTTTGACACAAACCTTCACATGCATGGAATTTGGCATCATGTTTTTGCATAGAATGCCTTTTCAAATCATAGTCTTTGAAAACTTGCACAAATTCCCTACAAATTAACCAGAGTGCCTTACTGTTCACCTTGACAAAAAAGTAGTTATTGAATAATCTTCCCTCATCCATGACTTTTTTTTTTGAGTCAGAGTCTATGTTGCTCTGGGTAGTGCCATGGCATCGCAGCTCACAGCAACCTCTAACTACTGGGCTCAAGTGATTCTCTTGCTTCAGCCTCCCAAGTAGCTGGAACTACAGGTGCCCACCACAATGCCCAGCTATTTTCTTGTTGCTGTTGTCCTTGTTGTTTAGCTGGCCTAGGCCGGGTTCAAACCTGCCAACCTCAGTACACGTGGCTGGTGCTATAACCAGCACCATAACTGCTGTACTACAGGTGCCGAGCCTGATTTTTCTTTTTTTGAGTTCTGTTTTCTTTTGAGACATTGTAGAATATTAATTGACAGGAAAATAAAAACTAAGGTTTAGCCCCTTCTACATCTCTGCTGCCAATGCAGGCTGATGCTTTAAGATCCATTTAGATCTGCACAACATCAAAGTGAGTAGGAGGTAGTGTCTGGAAAAGTCTTCACTGCCAAGTAGCTCTCCACTACACCTGCAGGAATCATCAGGGAAGTGGCTCATCTGTCTTTGTAGGTTTCCCAGGGTAGACCTTTACTGACAGAATTCATGGTTGTAGCATTTCAAACAACAGACTCACTCATTGGTAGACATGCCTTTGGGGACTGAGCCATAGACTCTTTATTCATATATTCATTTTAATAAACATTTATTGAGCTACAATAAGAAGCACGATCCATACCCTTACATACCTTTTTTTTAAAGAGTAAAAAGAGAGCAAACATAAAGTAGATAACAATGTCAGGAAATGTTAAGTGCTGTGAAGAAAAATAAAGCAGAATAGAATAGAGAGGACTGAGAGTGTCTATTTTTAGAAGTCTAATCAGAAAAGTCCCGTTGAAGGCATTTAAGTCACTTAGGCTTGTCTATATACAGATTAAGAAAGTACCATTGGGAACCTAACCTATAATTAGACATGTCTGTAGTTTAATGTGGTTGTAGCTTAAAAGAATTGGCCCATATGGTGAATCTGGTGAAGGTGGCAGTGACCAGATCAGAAAGGACTTTCAGGCCACAGTAGTCAGCCCTCTGTATCTGTGTATTCCTCATCGGTGGATTCAACCATAAATTGAAAATATTTAAAAATAAAAATAAAACAAATATAGCAATAAAATAATACACATTTTAAAGGCAAGAGTATAGCAACTATTTACACTGTATTAGATATTATAAGTAATCTAGATATGATTTAAAGCATAAAGGGTATGTGCAAACTCTATACCATTTCACATTAGGGACTTGGGCATCCATAGATTTTGGTTATCTATGGAAGTCCTGGAATCAATGCCCCCCCTTGGATACCAAGGTACTATTATTCTAGAGGACAATGGGGATTCACTGAAGGGTTTTAAGTTAGGGCATAAAGGATAAGGATTATCATTTTAGGCTGGGTGTGGTGGCTCCCGCCTATAATCCTAGCACCCTGGGAGGCTGCGGTGGGTGGACTGCCTGAGCTCACAGGTTCAAGACCAGCCAGGCGTTGTGATAGGTACCTGTAGTTCCAGCTACTCCACAGGCTGAGACAAGAGAATTGCTTGAGCCCAAGAGTTGGAGGTTGCTGTAAGCTGTGACACGACACTCTACTAAGGGCAACAAAATGAGGCTGTCTAAAAAAAAAAGGGTGAATGACAGTAAAACTGACACAGAAGATTGGCAGCAAAGAGGTAGAGAAAGCTAAGGAAGGCTAAAACGGAATGACTAATGAGAACCATAGAGAAAGGAAGAGTGCTGTGATTTCAAAATTCCATCTGGTCAAATGGTTTGTTCTGTGGAGGCCAGTCACCTCCAAATTTGACTCTTACAAAGCTTTTCTTCAATCAACAAATCCAGGGGCACATCACTAAACAAAATACCTTGCCTTATGGAAGCTTACGTTCTAGTGTGGAGAAGACAATAAACAAACATTAAAAATAGGTGAAATAAATATCAGGTGACAAATACTACCCAAAAATAGAGTAAGGGGCATTAGGATGCAGAGGAATTGTGAGCAATTTCTAATGAATGGGGCAGCAGGGTAGACCTCATTGAGTGACAACTGAGTAAAAACTCGAAGTCTGCTAAGTATCTATTTGGGAGAAGAGCATTCTAGAGGTGATCAAAGAATAGAGAGCATCAAGTAGGATTTGGATTTCTGCTCTAAGGAAAACGAGGAATCTCTGGAGGTTCTGAGAAGAGTGTATACAGTTTTCTCAGAGGATCTCGCAGCTAGCTGCGTTCAGAGAAGATGCTGATGCCAAAGGTAGAAGCTGGGAGAGCAGTAGGAGTCTAGTTCAGGCGAAATGACAGTGCTCTGGAGCACAATTATGGGAGAGTAGGTTTTTGGATGGTTTGGAAGAAGGACGTAAAGGGAACACTGACGCTTCCGTCCTACACAAAGGGAAAGATGCTGGCATCTACTGAGACCGAAGACCTTGGGAGGCTCACGTCCTTTGCTTTTGGTACCAGGAAGAGAGAGGAACGAATGAGTCGGAGTTCAGCCTGTTTCTGTTAAGTTTGTGATGTCACCCGCGCGGTTGCCTGCAGAAATTCAGAAGCGAAGTTTGAGCTGGCGATGTATGGAAGTCGGCAGCAAACAGCAGGTGCTTAAAGCCATGCAGCCAACAAATACCTACTTGTGGTTGTGATAAGTGCCCTGAAGAAAAATCAGGAAAGGCAGGCGAGTGTGTGGGAAGGGATTTTTAAAATGATGGGCAGAGAAGGCCTCTCTGAGAAAGGGTCACCTGCTTTTCCGCTAAGAAGCGAGAAGGGACAGCAGGCGCCCACTCGCGCAGGATCCTCCAGCCGGCGCGGAGGCAGAGGCGGCCGGCGGGGAAGACCACCAGGAGGCCCCGCCGCCGGGCAGCCCGAGGGCCACGGCTCTGTCTCCGGCTTCCCGCCCTTTAGCGTGGTTCCCCGGCAGCTAAAACCGAAACTCATCTAACGGACACTCAGCTTCTTCCAAAGGCCGAACATATTAGGCTAGAATGCAGATTTCGTGTACACCACATGGCTCGACGACTTTACAGCCAATCCTCATAAATGGTAAACTCGTCAAACCCACACAAACATTTTACAGTGACGAGGGCGGCTGCAAGTTTCTGTTTCGCTCACAGGCCCCCTCATCAGCGTCACTCTGAGGTAAGAGCCTTTCTGTTCAATCGCTTCAAGGAACTCGCACCCCCTCCAGCCGCCAGAGCAGTCACCTCCCCCACTACGGGTCGAAGAATGGGTCAAGCCGTGTTGCGCGAACAACGCAGGTCACGCGCCACAAAAGGATTGGCAGGGCGGGGCGACTGCGTTCAGTCGTCCTTTCCCTCCCATTGGCTGCGATCAACAGACTCACCTCCCGTGCTGGTTACTGGGGAACCTCGGGCCGGCCGGAGCCACCCCCCGCCGGCGCTCGTGCGCACGCGTGGCGGGTCCTCAGAACACTGAGCAGGCGCGGCCTCGTGTCGGCGGGAGGGGGCGAGTGGAGCGGCGCGCGCTGCGTCCCGGCGCTCGGCTTTCCCTCTGTGGGTCCCGCCCTCCGTCGCGGCGGCGCGGTGCACCCTGGGATAGGGAGCGATCTCCGAGCGAGGCAGCAAGATGGACGCGGGATTCTTCCGCGTAAGTACAAGCGCGAGGATCTGAGGGTGAGGCTAGGGGTTTTTTCGTAAGGCTCGGCAGGAGGCCTCAACTTGGGGCAGGGTAAGCCAATAAGGGGAGGCTTCCAGGATCCTGAGGGTCTCTGGTACTGGCGGACGCTCCCCCCCCCTGCGCTGCGGCGAAGACCGGTGCGCCCCTGCGCAGTCTCCTCCTCCGGGATCGTCCCCCCTACGCGGCGGCGACGGTGGCCGGAAAATGGCGGCGCGAAGGGGCCGAATTGGTGCCTCGCTGTCTGCCTGCCTGCCTGCCTGCCTGCCTGTCTGGTGGGGTTTGCAAGCCGAGCCCCGCGCGTGCCCACGTCCTGGGGCCTAGCGGAGCCGCGAGGAGGAAGTCCCTAGGGGCAGGCTAGAGGGAAACCCTAAGGTGACTGGCGGCTGGAGGGCACGGAGAGTACGGTTTTGGGGGGGGGGGTACGCCTCAGGAGAGCAGCTTAGGGAGAGGATAGGAAGCAGCATTTCGCGGCTTTTCTTGGGAAAGCGGGCAGCCGCCCCACCCCCCGTCCTCCCTTCAGGTCCTAAGCCCTTCGCGGAGGCGCCAGGGCCAGGTCAAAGTTCGCGGTAGCTCCCGCCCAATTTGATACCCCTTTGGGGAGGAGAACTCAGATTAATTTGTACTGGAAACGGTGGAATCTGAGGCTCTTTGAGACTAGAGGGTGCGGAGGCAGATTATGAAGCGGATCCGCTCTCCTTACCCTCACCTCCCGTTCACCCCCGGCCCCCGTTTGTTTTACTTTTTGGGAGTCCGCTGTGAGTCCGCTGTGTAAGAGGTGACTTACCTAAGCTCTCCAGTTGCTGCCTGCCCTTCGCCTGCAGGCGGGGAAGTTGCCTTGTGGTAGTTGGTCCTCGGGCCCCAAACTTTTTCGAGCTCATGCTGGAGCCTGTTTGTCCTGTATTTCACTCGTATAGGAAATTAGTACAAGGTCAAGATCTAGATGGGTGGAAAGGGACACTTGTTAGGGCTGGAATGGAGCACCAGTGATCGCTTCGGGGTTTGCAAATTGTTTTAATGTAGAATGAAACCTTTAGTTGGTGTAAGCCAAAATCTCCATTTTCTGTAATACATGTTGGCTCTTCTTTTTGGAGCATGTAATTTAAAGTTTGTGTTAAAGGAAAAATTGAAAGAGAGAAAGGCCGGGGCTTTAATAAAAATATCTTTTGAAATTCCAAACCGGTTAGTGACATTTTTAGTTGACTTTAAATATGCCGGCGAGTTTTTTTTTTTAATCAAAAGTTACAATATTCCAATTATTTGACTTAAGACAGCTGGTTATTTGACTGTTCTTAGGTTATGCAAACAATAAAATGTTTATTTGGGGATAATGGCTTCAAATGACTTTATCAAATTCTTTTTACACTGCTGATGTGCATTCTATTTGGTAATTTCTATCAAAGTAATATTTTGAAACAAAGGTCTTTTGTGACTTTTATCAAGCATTCCCTGTGTAAAGAAGTTCCGATTAAAAAAAGAGTAAGGTGGTTGATGTACATGTTAAAAAGAAGTTTGCTTGCTTTTGGTATTGGTAAAAATCTAAAAAAGAGTGCAGTTTTTTATGTGTTGCCTACAAATCCTTAAATATTAACAGTTAACTGGATTTAAACTCTGTAAGTTAAAAGATTTGGGGGCAGTTTTCTTTGTAGTACACTGCCAACCACATAATAATGTGACTATTTCAGTTAGGATAGAAATGGTATCTTCCATTCAATGATCTGTGCATTAGATCAGTTGGTCGTTTACTTCTATCATTTCTGGTAAATACAACAACCTCACAAGGTAGGTAGATTTCATTACCCTTATTTTAGCCAGTAAACATTCTCAGGCTAGATAACTTGATTGGAGATCTTATGGCTAAGTGGCGGAGTTGGAATTCTAAAACAGGTTCTTTACCTTCCCAGACAGTTTTTTGATCACTTTCCAAGGGACTATGGCCAATTCAGTGAACCAATCATTAGATTTTAGCCCACACAGCCAGCTATTTCCGTGTTTATTTGGGCCAGTAGGAATGACAAAATGAAAAGACCAATTAGTGATCTTGATGGTCTAATGTAGTATTTGAAAGCTTTCTTTCAAGTTTTCAAAGTTCTTTGCTGAAGCTTAGTTTATTAAGATAAATCTGTATTTCTTGTGCATTCCAAATTCTTAAAGTTGTTGAAAACTAACAACATAGTCCTAGTGAGTTTGTTTTTTTCCTTTTCCCCCTATTTATATGTATTGTCTCAGTAATTTTGCAAGCATGCCACTGGCTTTCAGAAAAGAATGAAACTTCCAGTGTCTCCATGTGTTCTCGTTTAAACAGAAAAGCCTGAAATATCTATTAACATGGGAAAATGTTTGAAAGGATGTCAGTCAACATGGGATAAGGAAAGGTGTGAGCTTTATGCTATATACTGCTGTATTCTGGGGAGTTTTTTGAGACAGATTCTCTCTACTTTGCCGAGGTTGGTCTTGGATTCCTGGGCTCAAGCCATCCTCCTACCTCAGCCGTCTGAGTATCTGCGATTACAGGCTCATGCTGTCACACTTGGCCAACTTATGATCGTGTATTTTGTGATTTTTAAATAGTCAAGTTTTCAAAATGTCAGCTACGTGGGGAAAGGGGTATATATTTTGCACGTATGAATGTTATTTATGTTGTTTCAATTTACTTGATTATCCTATTTTGACTATAAAAGTCAGAGCTACCTTTACCTGATAAGAGGAGGATTTTTGAACCCTTTATTAAGATGCTGTGTTTCTCTGCCTTCAGGGAACAAGTGCGGAACAGGATAATAGGTTCAGCAACAAACAGAAGAAACTACTGAAGCAGCTGAAGTTTGCAGAATGCCTAGAAAAAAAGGTACTCTGGATGAATGTTTATAGCGCACTTGAATGTTTTGAATGTTTATAGCGCAGTTGATGCATGCATTTTGGGGGTTGCTTTGAAGGTGTTCTATAACTTGAATACTAAGGAAGAAATAATTAAACATTTGCTACCTTTTAGCCTTCACACATACAGCACAAGCAAGTAAGAATTAGCAGATTGTACTATGCCAAGCAAAGAACTTCGTTAGAACTATTACACAAGATTTTTTAGGATTGTGAAGTTGTACTCAGTTATTGTTTGTTTCATCAGGTGGACATGAGCAAAGTAAATTTGGAGGTTATAAAGCCTTGGATAACAAAGCGAGTAACAGAAATCCTTGGGTTTGAAGATGATGTTGTGATTGAGTTTATATTCAACCAGCTGGAAGTGAAGGTACTAATATACAAATGGCTCTTGTTTCTGAATATGTGACATAATTTGTGAATCTATGGAAACTGAATTTTTCTATGGAGTGCAAATATAGGAGGGTTATTTTACAATGTTTGTTTTGAAAAGAGTTCACTTTGTAAACAAGTATTAAGGCTGGAAGTTTAGTGAAGGTGCATAGTTTTGAAAGCTACACAGGTGAAAAAAATCAAACTTATTGTTTGTAATTTTGCTGTTACATGTTAAGTTACTTTGACAGCAATTTTCTAATGATAATGTGATTTATGATTTAAAAGGCCTGAACCAAAATGGAAGTTATTCCTTGCGTCTGAAGTATAGCACCATCACCTTATTAGGTCACAGCAGAGTGAGTGTCCCAATGTCGCTCTGACCCAACTCCCTTGATGATGCAGTGTGTGTTTGGAGGTGAGTTGTGTAAAGTGGCCAAACATCAACAACAAAAAACACAAACAGGAAAGAGCAATTGGGTAAAGCTGTACACTGCTCTTTTAAAATACTATTATGAGATGGACATTTATGTGAAGCATGAGGGGCAATTTTGTATTATTTTTAAAGGAACTAAAGTTGTAGTTGTAGCTGCATGTCAGCTAGTCATCAGTTACATTTTAGGTACAAGATTTTTGTTTACAGTTAAACTTCAGACAGATTGATAGCATTGTTTGAACCAGTTGATGTAATTGTCCCTTTTTTCATGTATGAGATAAAAGAACTGATACTTAAAAACATTCTGTTATAAGATAGTTTGCTATTTTGCCATGGCAGCCCAAAGGACAGTTAAGATGTGTCATATGAAATTTTTGCAAAGATACCAATGTGAATTTACTCTTACATTAATCCTTTTCCCAAAGAGTTCACACTTGTGTTTTGACAGAACAGTTGGCATTTCAACTGATAAGGTATTTCTGTTTTTAAAATAATTTGGTATTATATTTTGTTTTGAATATTTTTAAAAGACTAATTTTAAGAAAGCACTTCTATAAAGTATATGCATTTTACTTAGAAAACCAGAACATGGGTGAACGTTTTTAAAATGATTAAAGGTAGATTTTATTGGAGAAAATGTTTTACTGATTTGTATTTTAGTAAATTTTTAAAACCTAAGTATCTGGTAGTATTCCCCTTGTAGTGAGCATGAGATTAAAGTTTAGAACTTTTTTAAACAGTCTTTTCCTTTTTTGTGGTTGTGTACTCATTATTGCTTGTTCGTCTTTTGCAATTTAGATAAATGATATAACATTAAACTCAAGGTGGTTGAGTTGCAGTAGGGAGTCGGAAGCAAGCCAAGGGAACATCTTTCTCTACAGGGGACTTGGCGATTCCAAACCCCCAAGGTTCAAGAAGAAACTGAAGACACCTGGAATCTGTACTTGCTTTGTGCTATTGAGCTGTGCTTGTTATACAGACCTTGTTGCTTGACCAAGAGATTTAGAATTTAAAAAGCTAATTATTTTTGAGAAATCTTGACCTCTTAGCCCTTTGTGGACAGTGAGAATTTGAGGCATTGTTATAATAGGTTTTCCTTATGTAGAAGTTGGGCTTTTAGCTTAGTCTTCAGAAGCTACAGAATGCATGCATAACTTTTAGTTTTCATAACTGAACAATAGATACTTTATAGCAAGCTATTTACAGTGTTAGAGAAGTGAACAGTTTGTGTACTTTTTACATTTCTCATTGGGGGAAAATTCCCAGGCAAGCAAACACTTTTGTTGTTAGTAAATATAAGAATTTATGGATAGTCCATGATGGTTATTAAAGTTAATAAATATAAGACCCACTAACAGCCACACAGTCTAAAAATACTTATGAAATCCACAAAGGATTAACAGGCTGCTCTGATGCTTTTGGTAGAGTGAGAGAGAATTTGGTAATCTGTTAGAGATACAGTGCTGAGAAGCCACTGGGGAAAAACTATTTTTAAGATAGCAAAGATTACATATGTATCTAAGCCCCTATGGTAGACTTTAAAAAATACTAATTTAAATGAGTTTTAGGTTAGTTGGTTGGTTTGTTTTGAAGTAACCAGTTTTTCTTCTTGTCATGTCTCTTTGCAGAATCCAGACTCCAAAATGATGCAAATCAACCTGACTGGGTTTTTGAACGGCAAAAATGCTAGAGAATTTATGGGAGAACTGTGGCCCCTGCTGCTAAGTGCACAAGAAAACATCGCAGGAATCCCTTCTGCTTTCCTAGAACTGAAGAAAGAAGAAATAAAACAGAGACAGGTAATGTAATGTTGATTTGAGAGAGAAGTATCTAGTCCAGACTGCTGAGAGACCTTTAGTTTTCCGTTACCTGGCTAGAATCACTATTTTGTTTTTCTTTGCTGTAATATATTTGTGCATTTCGTTTTGGTTCACTGCTTCTCCCTTCAACCCAAGCATTGAGTGTAGAATGTCGTTTTCCCAGAGTCCATAGTGATTTGGTAGTTGGTTTGGGATTTGTTTGTTTGTTCGTTTGTTTGTTTGAAACAAGAGTCATCACTCTGTTGCCCTGGTAGAGTGCTGTGGCATCACAGCTCACAGCAACCTCAACCTCTTGGGCTCAAGGGATTCTCTTGCCCCAGCCTCCCCAATAGCTGGGACTACAGGCACCAGCACAACACCCAGCTAATTATTTTTAGTAGAGACAGGGTCTTGCTCTTTACTCAGGCTGGTCACGAACTCCTGCACTCAAGCAATCCACGCGCCTCGGCCTCTCAGAGTACTAGGATTACAGGGGTAAGCCACCATGCCCCACTATGTTTGTTTTGTTTTTGAGACATGTCATGCTGTTACCTGGGCTAGAGTACCATGGCTTCAGCCTCCTGAGTAGCTGGGACTACAGGTGTGTGCCACCATGCCCAGCTTATTTCTCCATTTTTTGTAAAGATGAGGTCTTTCCATTTCTTTGTTCAAGCTGGTTATAAACTCCTGACCTGAAGCAGTCCACCCGCCTTAGCCTCCCAGAGTGTTAGAATTATAGGCAGGAACCACTGCACCTGGTCTAATTTGGTAGATTAAAAAAAATTTTAATATATGAGTACGCCTAGCTTAAATGAAATTTGAACTTAAATAACAATGAAAAAGGTAAGAGTGAGCTTGTCATATGAGCAATACATGTAAAATTATAGGAGAATGAGGTGAATATTAAAATAATTTTTTTAGTAAACTTGAAAATGGCAACAGCTCTTTAGTTCAGGTCTCGGGAATTAGCTTTCCACCTTGTTCATTTGTAAACAAGCGGCTATAATACCTATCTTAATGTGCACCCACAGTATGGGTGAAGAAAGAACAGTCTTTGTTCAAAAGGAGAGGCTGATGAAATGACAGTTACAGCATTGGTGTTTATCAAGTGGGGAAAGTAATGTCCACTTCGCTTGTTCTCAAATGTTCAACTGTTTGTGCGTTAAAACCCTAATCTTTGCAGATTGAACAAGAAAAATTAGCATCTATGAAAAAGCAAGATGAAGACAAAGATAAGAGGGATAAAGAAGAAAAAGAAAGCAGCAGAGAAAAAAGGGAGAGATCTCGAAGCCCAAGAAGGTATCATACAATAGATGAATAACTGGTGTTTTACTGTTACTTGAGATCTTCTGTGTGTAGCAATTTCCATAGTTGAAAAGAAATCTAATGGCACTGTTCAGGGAATTTCTTCCATCATTTTAGTTTTCCTAGTGAGCTGTGGCTTGCCTCTAGACTAAAATTGTTTGTCTTTGTTTGGGACAGATCATTTGACTATGATTGTGTCTAAAATCTTGGTGAGTTATACAACCATTAATTTGTTTTTAAAAAAATTTTATTAGATGCTGTTTTTGTGTATTATTCTAATTTTAGTATAGGTGCTGCCAAAGCAAGCACCCACCTCTTAATTCGTAACTCAAAACCTAGACTTCTAGATTGCTTCAGTTTAAATATAACATTTAATTAATTGAATTTTGAAAAATAAACTCTGACTCATTTTTTCTTTCCATTTCTTTTTTGTTTTAGAAATCTGTATTCGAAATTTGTGCTTGTAGGACATTCATACTATATATACTTACCAGTTGTGTTTTTCTTAGATGATCATACTGTACTCAAACTTCATTTATTTCTACTTACTCCCCATGAAACTTAGTAGGCTCACATTTTTAAATCCACAGCTCAGATTCTGCTGTATTTGTGGTAAAAGGTGAGCAATCTATCAGACTTCATTTGTTAGGATTGTATTTGTTTCATAAATGTCTGGAATTACTAAAGAAGTAATTTTTTGTCCCTTTGATTTTTATATTTGATACTAAAACATGCTTCTCATGGAAGCAGTGCTTTGGAAATCACAAAGCATAAATCACTGGTGATAACAGATCTGCTGTTTTCTTTCATTGTGGAAAAGTAAACAGGTCTGATGTTTTCCTTCATTGTGGAAAAGTAAAAAAAACCTTAGGCAAACTACTACTGAAAGAGAAAAGGGTCTTCTCTTCCCCAAAAATGGTCTTAGCGCAAGCTTGATGTTTTTCTATTCTGAAGAACATATCCTTCAATCACAGTAATCATTGTTCTGGCATACTTAGGCTCTGATGAAGTCTGGCGTGATCTGTCTTCACTTTAAATATTGTATTTTGTTTGGTTTTGTTTATTGTCACAGAATATCACTGAACTTTCAAGAATCCTCTTTTCCTCAGAAAGTTGGTCTTTGAATGGATCTCTGGGAATGATTAAGAACCTAATTCAAGACTCCCAATAACTTCCTCTCTCCCCTTATGACTGATTTACTTGAGAATGTTGTCTTTAATTTGCTTATCTTTCTGGTTTTGGCCCTTTCTCTCTCAAGTAGATGAGCTAGAATATCTTATTTTCATGGGGAGATATTTTGTATAAACAATAGTGGTGTAACTAAGGAGATTAATTCTCACTTCTTCCTTTGATCTTTTCTCACAATCCACATTACTCAAAAACCTAAAAACATTTCTTTCATCCTAGACGCAAATCCAGATCTCCTTCCCCTAGAAGACGATCTTCCCCTGTCAGGAGAGAGAGGAAGCGCAGTCATTCTCGGTCTCCCCGTCATAGAACCAAGAGCCAGAGTCCTTCCCCTGCTCCAGAAAAGAAGGAAAAAACTCCAGAGCTCCCAGAACCTTCAGTGAAAGTAAAAGAACCATCAGTACAAGAGGCCACTTCTACTAGGTAAGTATATGAAAGTTCATTTATAAATAATAAAAGTTTTAGGCTATTAATAGCAACTGCAAGTACAGCATCTCTGAGTTAAAAACATAAAATCATTTGTTTAGACATTTTAAAGTACAAAATTAGAGTGTTGGGGCGTATGTTTAAGGAAAATGCCCCACTGGTGACCGCTTTCTATTGGTTGTATTGTTTGAAATGTTTTATATGTTTGCAGCTTGCTTTATATTGTGAACAACTTTGTACTTTAAAAAAAATTAAGTTTTAGAATGGTTAGTTGCTCACTGGATTTCCAAGATATATATGTATTTTTTGGAGCTAGAGAAAAGTTTTCATGGATTTTGGTAATTTATTAAAGAAAAATACTGCATATCATTGCATTAGGACTTGACTTGGAAGTCTGAAAAAAGCTTATTTTTTCCCCACAGTGACATCCTGAAAGTTCCCAAGCCTGAACCTATGCCAGAGCCTAAAGAACCTTCTCCAGAAAAAAATTCCAAAAAAGAAAAAGAAAAGGAGAAGACCCGTCCAAGGTCTCGGTCACGTTCCAAATCAAGATCTCGGACAAGGTCTCGCTCTCCTTCTCATACTCGACCTAGACGGCGCCATAGATCCCGATCAAGGTGAGTTGTGGCTTTAAGATGAACACAGACCTTAGATTTTGTGTGCTACTTGCCTTGGTAGAATTACATAAATACAGTAGACCCTCTGTAGTTGACCACTTCCCTATATTGACCACCTCCTTAAATTGATCTAATTTTCATAGACTGGACTTGTACCACATGTATGTATCAGTGCAGTAGGTATAGTTCCTTATGTTGACCAGTTTGTACAGTCCCTTGCATGATCAGCTTACAGAGGTTCTACTATAATTTAAAAGCAGTAGAAGATCTTTGGACTTACATAGAGAATTCGAGAATACTTTTTCTGTTGTACTATAAAAATTTCTGCATAAAAGAACCTGAATAAATCAGGAGTGAGGAACTTTCTGATTTAGTTTTCTCAATGGCCATGTGTTAAAAACAAATTTGAGGGCAGCACCGGTGGTTCAGTGGATAGGGTGCCGGTCCTATACACCAAGGATGACAGGTTCAAACCTGGCCCCAGCCAAACTGCAACAAAAAAGTAGCCGGGCGTTGTGGGGGGTGCCGTTGGTCCCAGCTACTCAGGAGGCTGAGGCAGGAGAATCACCTAAGCCCAGGAGTTAGAGGTTGCTGTGAGCAACCACAGCACTCTACTGAGGATGATAAAGTGAGACTCTGTAGAAAAGAAAAACTTGGGGATGGCGTATGTGGCTCAAAGGAGTAGGGTGCCGGCCCCATATGCCAGAGGTGGGGGGTTCAAATGGGGCCTTGGCCACAAAAAAAATAATAATAAATTTAAAATACTTGGGCGATGCCTGTGGCTCAAAGGAGTTAGGGCGCTGGCCCCATATACCAGAGGTGGTGGGTTCAAACCCAGCCCCAGCCAAAACAAAACAAATTTGAAAGATCACATTTTCCCCAATTGTTTGTTATGGCAGATCATACTCGCCTAGAAGGCGGCCAAGCCCAAGAAGACGCCCATCTCCTCGAAGAAGAACTCCACCCAGGCGAATGCCTCCTCCACCAAGGCATAGAAGGAGTAGATCTCCAGTGAGACGGTGAGATTTTTCTTTTCTTTCTTTTTTTTTTTTTTAATTTGCAAGTGTCAAGTGCTTGACACTGGGATAATCTTTGTTTTAGGATAATTTTAGGGTAATCTTTAATGTCCTCCCCCCCCCCCGGAAAGAATGAATTTATAAGTGATACTAGATAATGTCTTCTAAAGAACCTATTTGATTTGAAGGGTAATGCTGTTATTTGTGCTATGAAAAATGTCTAGCCAAGTGATAGAAAACAAAAAATAAGAAATTGACCATCTTTTTGATACTCGTGTTAACTTTTACCCTTTCAGACCTCAGGAAGAAATCCTGCCAAGTAAGGGAATGGCCACTTTTCTTCAGCTTTTCACTTTTAACTGACATCTAAAAAGTAGCTGACTATAGGGCCAGTAAGCTACTTTAGCAGTATTAAAAAAATTCATTTGCTCTTTTATTTTCTTAATGTGGTTTCCTTTTTTTATAGAAATAATGAGGCTTGTAAACAGTTCTAACAGAAATAACAGATTGAAAGTTCTCTAGAGTCCCATTCCATAGATACTGGTTACTAGTACTTTGGTGTCTAGTTATTTTTGAAGAAACCAGGCATAAACCTAACTCCACTAGAACAAATATTCTTTTCCTTAATTAAATCATTCTAAAGTGATGATAAGGTAAAATGTTTACATCTTGGGTATATGGTTCTTAACAAAAAGATTGTGACTAAATCTGTCCAAAGCAGAGGCCTGGTAGCGGAGTGTGCCTCATTGACAGTGTATTTTCCCTGTATTTGGAAGAATCTAGATAATTAAGCTTCAGCTTATACTTCAGAAAGATTTGTGTTTGAGTCTTCTAAGGTTTTGGGGCGGGGAACTGAATCAACTTAGAAATAAGACAGGAAACATCAAATAAGCTCAGAGTCCCAGACTTTAAAAAAAAAATACTGTTTTCTTTGGGGAGGGGTTGTTAAGGTATATTGAACTATTAGGGCCACTATTAGAAATTATAGAGTTAATGTTGCTACTGTTAGGTGAGAGTAAGGAGGTAAATGTTCAGTCATTTCAGGCACCACACTTTCCTAAAATTGATTATTATTTCTTAGGAGAAAAATAATGCTGATGCTTTCTAGTATGAGATTAGTGGAAACAGCTATTTCTTATATTGGAGTTTTGCAAACAGCATGTTTTATTTTGCTTACTAAGCCATTTAGCAGTCAAAATATTTTGCAGATTGTGTAAGATTCCCTTTCAGCCAGTTTTTATTTCACACTTAAGGTAGGGTTTCTTTTTTTCAGGTTCTCAGGAATTCTTCCGCCAAAGGTGAATTCTGCAGGTACACATAATTGCAACAGAACTTAACACAAATTTTGCCGCAGAATTCGAGAGGGCCCCTGCTTCTAAGTTTATGTAGCTAAATGACTTCCTAATCTTGCACAGCTTTTTAAAAAAGATGCAACCCAAAGATTCCTTAACATTATGTTATTAAATGAAAAATACTGTGCTGCTCAAATTTTGTATGCAAACTCCAAAACACCAATAGCATTGCTAAGGAAAAAGGAGACTGGTTGGTTGTTGTATTATAGCATTCCACTTACAAAGTTTTGTAACTCGAAAGACAAGTAGAAGCATTTGTGAGATACAAGTTATTTATATGTAGTCTCAGAACTAGCTGTTTCCTGTCCGAGGTTATGGTTTTGTTCCCAGTTTTTTGGACTGATTTGTGTGCTTAGCTACATAAACTCAAAAGTTGGATAAAAATAGTTGTATTTTCATGTAAACTGTTCAAACCTATAAGGTCATTCTTTATCTAAGTATGTGATTAGTGAATATGAATACTTTATTCCACAGAAGAAGGCGTTCATCAGCATCTTTATCTGGGAGTAGCTCATCATCCTCTTCATCTCGTTCACGGTCACCGCCAAAGAAGCCACCCAAGAGGACATCTAGCCCCCCTCGAAAAACTCGTAGGTTATCTCCTTCAGCAAGTCCTCCAAGGCGAAGGCACAGGCCATCACCTCCTGCAACTCCACCACCAAAAACTCGGCATTCCCCAACACCCCAGCAATCAAATCGTACAAGAAAAAGTCGTGTTTCTGTGTCTCCAGGGAGAACTTCAGGTAAAGGTAAAAATCAAACACATGAAAACATGTTCTCTTTCTTTGTTTGGCTACAGAGAGTGCAGTTATTTCCCATTGCCCAGTCTCAAAAGTGTGAAATAGAGTGTACACGTAACATTTTGTTCATAGCCATGCCTTCTTGGCATTGAACAGGTGGAGAAATATATTACTAATGTGGGCTGTTTGAGTTGGGGTAACTTGTCAAAGTTTGTGTTGTCTTGATAAAGGATCATTCTATTACTGTGAGACCAGTTAACTTTTTTCTCTAAAGATTTTTTGGTAAGATATCTTATTTGAGGACTTCATATTCTCTTTTAGTTCTTTCTTGGCCACAGTATGCTCCCAAGGGAAGGACATTGTGTGCTCTTAATAGCTGGTTTGTTCTTTTAATTTAGGCTGTAGGCAGGGTTCTTGTGAGTGTTGTCCTTGCTTTATTCTGCAGATGGATTTTTGGGGGCATTTATAATCTGTGATCCTGCCAGGCAGGTAGACTCTGTGCTAGTCTGAGTGAAGGTTGTAATCTATTGGGGCTTGTCCTTTTAGCATTAAATGCACTTGGAGAAAACTATAGGATCCATTTGAATCAGGCCTCGAGTTCTTAGGGCTGAAGTGATACATAGCCTCAAATGTGAGTCATAGGGGAGGGGAGAATCTTAAAAGCTACCATAGCAATTAGATTTTAAAGAGCAATCATACTGGAATTGTTCTGATCATGTTGAAAATTATAAGTTAGGCTCAGTGCCTGTAGCACAGTGGTTATGGTGCCAGCCACATACACCAAGGGTGTCGGTTCGAACCCAGTCTGGGCCAGCTAATAAATTGCAACGAAAAAATAGCTAGGTGTTATGGTGGGCACCTGTAGTCCTAGCTACTTGGTAGGCTGAGGCAGGAGAATTGCTTAAGCCCATGAATTGGAGGTTGCTGTAAGCACGGCACTCTACTGAGGGTGACATAGTGAGACTGTCTCAAAAAAAGAAAGAAAAGTACAAGTTAAAGCTGAGTGTAGTGGTATGTGCCTATAGTCTGAACTACTTGGGAGGCTGAGGTGGGAGGATGACTTGTACCTAGGAAAGATAATTTCAGGTTAAAAATAAATGGGAATCCAGCACACTGTACCCCATGACTACATTAATGTACACAGCTATGATTTAATTAAATAAATAAACAGGGATGAGTAAAATTTTCACTATTATAAATGAGCTTAAAGTGAAATTAGGATTACTTTCAGCCATCTTTGTCTCCCTACTTCACCAACACTGCAAGGCGATGTGATGTCTCGAAAGGCAAGTTTTTTTTTTTTTTTTT